CAAGAGTTCCCGGCTATAGGGACGATAAGTGTGTACTTGTTTCCAAATGAATCGATATTGTGCCGACGTTTGCGTATTCCACAAGAGCGCGGGAGTATCGACATGATCAAAGCTGGCCACGAGACGAATCGAAGGGCAAACCAATGTGGACAAGACCTGTTGTGCCAGACGCGTCTTGAGCCCTTCCAAGTTGTGTACTAGCAAGTAAATAAGAAGAGAGCCCTTGGCCGCAATGGCGAGAGCAATGGCATGTGCCCGGTCCAGTGGATCTCGAATCTTTCGTCGCGTAACGTGCCTGACAGTGCCAGTGACGGGGTCTCTGAGGGTCTTGGTCACTTCCATGGATTCCTCATTTTGCATTCCTGGAAGACTCTTCTGAGCAGCGGATGGTTCGAGCCCATCCAAAAAGACGTTTACCAAAAGGCTCAGAATACCTTGTGTGGTGATTTCTGGATCAAAGCCATCCAATGCCAGGACGTATCCCTCCTTTCGTAAATGTGATTCGGCAAACTCCGTTAATAGCGCTCGTTTGGAACCAAACCCATAGACGAGCAAGGAGTGGTTGGTGGCCAGTAGGAATTGCCATTCTGCGAATTGTTCCCTGCAGGATTCTTCTGCCTGTGTAACAATGTCATCCTCCTTCTCATTGTTGTTGTATTCTTCCATCTTTCTAATGCATTCTTGGAGGGAAAGCCGTTCAAATTTTGGAGGCTGATTTTCATCATTGATTGTTGTTGTTGTCGCGTTGGCTTGCTTTGCTTTGATCCGTGCTTGTTTGGCTTGAATATTGGCCTTGTTCAAATATTGTCCGGCACCGCGATCTGCTTCCGTGACAGATCTAGTACGCCTTCCACTAGAACGTGGTTTGCTTTGATTGCTGGCTAGCTTTGGGTTGTTCTTGGTGTTTTTCTTTTTGGACTTACTCGTAGTGGCAGTTTGTTTGTCCCCATTTTCTGTGTTTTCTTCCTCGTCTTTCTCCTCGTCCTTTTTCTCCTTGAGCATTTGGAGATTGGATAGAAACAAATGATAGCAAGCATCATCCCTGAGACGTCTCCACCGTTCTTCTTGTCCCAGTGCCAATCGAGGAATCATTGCCGTATTTTGTTGTTTTGATGATTGCTGCACATCACTGGTAATCGCAGTGACATCTTGCAGAGCACCATAATCCAAATGCTCCGCCACTTCCCTGGCCGTTAATAGCAAACTTTCATCTTTGTTGGCACTTTCACGCGAAACATCCGGTGGCCGATAGCGCCGTCGGCCCGAATCATAGACCCAACCAGCCTTGGAAAGATCCGTCCAAACGGGACGAAAATTCGCATCGGAAAAGCAAAAGCGTAATTGCATGGCAGACAGATCATTCCGTTCCTGGACGGATAGCTCGGAGACGTCATGTTCTCTTGGGTAGTATTGTGCCGTATCATCCGTCTTTAATCTTTCTGCTTTTTTGTCATCTTTTTCTTTTGAAGTATCTTCGCTCTGCATCTGCTCGTCATCTTCTTGGTGTCGTATGTTAGGTTCCTCCCCCGTAATTGCTTGTGGGTCGGCCATGGTTGCATCCTCCATTGTCGCTGTTGTTGTGTCGATTGTTGTGCGCTCAATCATCTGGACGGGGGAAGAAAGCCAATGACGGCGGCGCGCTCGAGGTTTGTGCATTGTCGAATTGCAATCGAATGATTCGGATGATCAATCGAACTCTGCCCACAAATTCCGGCAACTGCACATCAGGTAGATGCGGTAAACAATTTTCCATTTTTTCAATGAAATACATAATAGCTAGTAATGTAAAGGGTACCAGTATACAACCTCCCTGACAAACCACATGACATGTTGGAGAAGGTGTACTAGTACACGGATAACAATGCAAACAAAACAAACGAGAAGGAAGGGCCATTTTGAAGGACGCGAACGAGTTTCGCAGCCACAAACAATCAAAACAGAAGAATGAATGCTTTATATTATCAGAACAACTTTAGAAAAAATCAGAGGAAAAGAACTGACCAATCTTAGTCGAACATATTGTAGCTACCAGTACCGTGCACGAATGTGATCACTCTCTCCGCACCTCGGTGGTTCGAAACCGTACGGTACGTACAGTAGTCGAAATTGTTTGGGATTGGTGCTCAGTGGATCATATTACCATTCGCAATAATGTGTCGTCGGGGATCGTACCGGTATTAACCTGCAGCTAATCGATCAAGACTCCGAGCACTTTGTCTTGGTTACAAGGTATGGCGGCGATGTACCATAAAATGGACACAATCCGAGGTGAAATTGAATGAGTAAAGCAAAGCCACCTGGTATTTGGCATTCGATGCCGAAACGAGACGACTCGAAGTGGCTCGTGCGGTTCTTTTCAAAGGATAGGTAATGTAATCTAAGAATTAGCTGGCTGGCTGGCTAGCTAGATCCGAGGCAAGCAAACTCGTCGAGTTCGGCCAAGCCCTTGGACTCATTGAATGCTCCAATTGAGCCGTACAAATAGCTGTGCAATGTCTTGCTCGGAAGACTGCTGCGCGTATTTGGTTTGACCATGGGAGCCACAACAACGGAGCTACCAGAATTTTGGGAGCTGCCAGAATTGCGAGAACTTTCATGCAAGGAAGACTCAGAGTCAAAGACACTGGTCGAGAATCGTTTCGACTGTTGTGATTGTGAATCCAAAGACGAAGACGGTAAAGACGCACAAGATTCGTGAAATCGTTTGACCAGGTCGTCACGGCCGGTCTCATGGTCTTGGTCATGAAACAAGGACCGGAACGATCTTGACAGTCCATTGTCAAAACTCCTCGTCGGTTTGGATCGGCGTTTGGATCGGCGCTCCAAGGAAGCCAACTTGTCATCATCGTGTAGACCTGCATCCTCTGGTGCTTCCGTACTGTCCTCTGGACCAGCAGCCTGATCTTCTGCCTTTGCCGCTACAGTTTGCTTGGAGTCCTTGCATTCATCATGAAATGCATTGAATGCTCGGTCGAAACCGTGGAAGGAGCTGTGTAGCGTCTTGCCGCGTGTAACGGTGGTGGTCTTGACCCTGGGCACCACAAAGGAGCTGCCCGAACCGTGATAGCTTTCATGTAAGGAGGGCCCAGAGTCTAAGATATCGTGTATGGAGGGCCCAAAGTCTAAGATTTCGATCGAGCCTCTTTTGGACCAACATGAAGAAGAATCTTTGGCCTGGTCATCAAACAAGGACCGCCACGAGCTGGACCTTTGATTGGCCAGGAATGTCCTTGACAAATTGGATCGGTGCTCCATGGATGCCAACACGTCTTCATGAAGATTAGTTGCAGCTGCATCTATTGGTTTCTCAATGTTGCCCTCTGTTTTGCCTTGTTGTTCTGAGAAGAGTGATGTCAAGCTCAAGATCTGTTCATTTACACTTGCTTGCTCCCCCTTGTCGTCAGGGGCAACGTGCGAAGAACGACCTGATCGTCGGCTTCGGGGGGTGTTGTTACTCTCTGTCCTGAGAATGCTTGAACCAACGGATCTGCTTCGACGCCGGGGGCTGGAAGCTTTGTTGCTGTCTTTTTTGGCTTCATCCGATGAAGAAGTATCTTGTAAAGGCCGACGTGATCGTCGGGTTCGGGGAGCATTGCTACTCTCCGTGCTGAGAATGCTGGAGCCAACTGATGAAGAACTATCATTTGAAGAATGATAAGAACGTCGGGTTCGGGGAGCTTTGCTGCTCCCTCTGCTGTGAATGCTGCAACCGAGGGATCTACTTCGACGGATGGGACGGGAAGCTTTCCCACTGTCTGATTTGGCTTCATCCGAAGAAGAACTATCTTGTGAAGACCGACCTGATCGTCGGCTTCGGGGAGCATTGGTACTATCTTTACCAAGAATGCTTGAACCAAGGGATCTGCTTCGACGGCGGGGACTGGAAGGTTTGCCCCTGCCTGTTTTGGCTTCATCCGAAGAAGAATTGTCTTGTGAAGAACGGCGACATCTTCGGGTTCGGGGAGTGTCATTGCTCCCTCGACCCTGAATGCTACAACCGAGGGATCTACTACGTCGTTGGGGCCGGGAAGCTCTGTTGTCGTCTGTTCTGGCTTCTTTGGTAGTGTCCTCTGATGAAAAAATACGTTTTGAGGAACGAGATCGTCGGCTTGGGGGGGCGTTGTTACTCCCTCTTCTGAGAATACTGCAACCAAGGGATCTGCTTCGACGACGGGAATTGGACGCTTTTTCGTCATCGGTTTTGGCTTCATTGGTAATGTGCTCTGAAGGAACATCTTGTGAAGAACGACGAGATCGTCGGGTGCGGGGAGCGCTGCTACTTCCTCTACTGTGAATGCTGCTACTTCCTCTGCTGTGAATGCTGCAACCAAGGGAGCGGCTACGACGGTGGGAACTGGAAGCTTTGTCGCTGCCTCTTTTGGCTTCATCAGAAGAGCAACAACTATCTTGAGAAGAATGGCGAGATCGTCGGCTTTGGGGGGCGTTGTTACTCTCTGTCCTGAGAATGCTGGAACCAACGGATCTGCTTCGACGGCGGGGACTGGAAGCTTTGTCGCCATACGATTTGGCTTCATCCAAAGAGCAACAACTATCTTGTGAAGAACGACGAGATCGCCGGGTTTGGCGAGTGTCATTGCTCCCTCGACCCTGAATGCTTGAACCGAGGGATCTGCTTCGACGGCGGGGACGGGAAGCTTTGTTGTCATCTGTATTGCCCTCCTTAGTACTGTCCTGACGGCGACTGTGCGCATCGCCATCCGCTCTCTTGACTGTTGCACTATCTGTGCTTTTCACTCTTCTGAGAGTTTTTGAGCTACCAGCACTTGTGCTGGACTTGCTGCTTTCGTCCATTGATTGGGTGTGTCGCAAGTTCGCTTCGACACGTCCACGAGTGCTGCAACGGCGCACTGTCTTGCCACGAGAATCTGCTGTCGTAGTACCACTATCGCTTGAGTTTGAAGTTGGAGGCAGACCAGATGATTTGGTGCTTCTTCTCGACCTCCTTCTCCGTTCTTTTCCCTGCTCCTTTGCACTGTCATTGGCACTATGTCTACGCCTGTGCTTTTCCCAATCGTAGATACCACTGCCATCTTCAATAGTCGAATGCTTGGAATCTTTAGCATCCAAATCTTGCTGCACCATCAAGCCCGCATAGTCCTCCCATTTAAAGATGGAATCATACTTGTTTTGATCGGACTTCCTTGATCGACGCTTGACCTTGCACATGGATGTTGGACTCTCGACCTTGAGCGAGGATGATGATGAAAGTAGACTATACTTCATGTTCTTCGCTGTGCTTGGATTATTGGTGTATGGGAGAGTTACTATGGGTTAGAGGGAGCTATGATGAGGATGGGTTCATCAACTAACTGCGATATGAGCCTCCCTCAAAAACAGCGTTTCCTCGTTTCCTCCCTGTTGTCGGCCCATGTAGTCTATTGAAGAAGATCCAGCGTTGAGGGTGGGGCCGGTACATGACACATGACATTGTATGCACAGGCGGGAGGAACTCCACCAGCCTTCTTTCTTTTAATCTTGCAATGACGTGTTCACAAAAGATGACCTTAGGTGGTGATGGACAATAAGAAGAAAACGAACACGAAGGCCTCAGTCATACCTTCATAATCTCAGGATTCTAGCAAAGATTGACTGTTAAGTAAAAGGAGATTACGTTTCTGAGAGCAAATAAATATCACTCAAAAGCCTTTCCCCAATGCCACTTTCTGCCCATTCCACATTGGGTTCAGAGAGGCTTGGATTCTATTACTAACAAATAACACGGAGGAAAGTCGGCCAGGCACACTCTAGGTTTTTATATAGCTAAATAAATATCATTAAGACATCAACTTCAACC